CCACTGCTCAACCAGGGAAGCCCGCAATATCTTTTTTTTTTTTTTTTGCGGTACGCGGGCCTCTCACTGCCACGGCCTCTCCCGTTGCGGAGCACAGGCTCCGGACGCGCAGGCTCAGCGGCCATGGCTCACGGGCCCAGCCGCTCCACGGCATGTGGGATCTTCCTAGACCCGGGCACGAACCCATGTCCCCTGCATCGGCAGGCGGACTCTCAACCAGTGCGCCACCAGGGAAGCCCAAGGCCAATCGTCTCTAAAAAAAAAAAATCCATTCTGCAAAAACTATTTTTATTATTCTTGTGAACTTATGACAAGGAATGTATCCAGGAAAAAGGCTTCAAAATCTAAGCTATGTTCCACTGTTTGCAGTTTGCTTGGATTTTAACTAGGTGTGCAAGTTGACTTCTGACCTTGGGGAATCCTCTACATTCATGGATTTATGGATTGTTGAGGCCATGGCAGATAACCAGTTCCACAGAAGCAACTTCACGCTCTTCTGAGGAAGATCCATAGTACTGTGGAACAAGGAATATAAATGAGCGATGCCACAAGAGACTGCAAATGGGGTTACCAAGATACAACCCTCAAAAATGAACTCTGAAGGTGGAAAAACTACAAGAAAAAAATATTAAAATAGGCGTTTTAAAAAAGTTTCAGCTATCATGTTAAGAGCACTGATGGACATTCAATAGACACGGCACATGCTTCTTAGGCATGGAATGTATAAATCTGTTATAAAAAGAAACATTTTCAGCACTGCCAGAATTTAAAAACAAAAAATGAAAAACTCAAGCATCTAGAGGGGAAAACACCAAATGAAAAGATTCAAACTGTAGTAATGACTATTTGGCCTTTAACCATTTCCAGTTAAATTATATTTGAAAGCTCTCCCTCCCCCACTCATAGCCATACACAAGCACACCAACTTTTAAACGTTTTATAATGGCCAAAGAAGGGGTTTACATAGATATATTTGTTAATGGAACTCATTTCTAATTAGTTTTTAATAAGTTGCTAATTCATTTTAGCCTCACATCAGTTCCATCTCATTCCCCAGTCCCTTTCCTGATGTCTAACAGTGAATGTCCTGTACCATGAGGTCAGCTTCCTGTGGCACTTTGGGAATTATCTGTTTGGGGTTTAAATAAGTACAGTTTATAAAGTTCTCTGTCTCTTCTTCAGCCCCCACTAGGGTTGATAAAGGCATTTCCAGAGGCAAACGGTTCTCTTCCTCCCTCTGCTCTTCCTCCTCCAGCCCCTCCCCTTCTTCTTCATGCTCCTCCCCCTCCGCCCCCTCCTCCACGGAGTCAGGTTCTTCGGCGTCCTCTTCATCGTTGGCTTCCGCGTCCTCCTCCTCGCTCTCCAACTCCTTGCAGTCACACTCCTCCTCGCCACACTTTTCCCCCTCCTCCTCATTTCTCTCCTCTTCCTCTACCGGCTGTGGGCTTGGAGACCGGTTTTCCTCATCCGGGTCCGGACTGAAGGCTAGAGAGGGATTCTGCCCAAAGCTATACAAAGTTGCCCGCAGCTCCGCGTCTTCCTCGCCACCGCTGGGGGGCGCATCGTTTCCGAAGGAACCGGCCGCGGATGCGGTGCCGCCCGCCTGGGCCTGCTGCGCCCGCAGTGCCTCCTGCTGCCGCATATCCTCGTAGATCTGGTTCATGATGAACTGGGTGGTGTTCCGCGGTGCCCGCAGGCCGGGTTCCCGCCACCTGCACAGGTTGACCGGCCGCAGCAGCGTGCTCAGATCCTCTGAAGGGCTCCTCTGGAAGGAGCAGCGAGGGTCGCGGCGCAGGCCGCGGCCCCGGCGGCCCCAGTGCTTCTTCCTGGCCGGGGGCCTCGCCCAGCAGGGGTTCCAGGGCCTGCGCCAGCAGGAGCAGCAGCAAAGGCAGAATGGGTGCAGGCCGTACACCCGGATCACTTGCACCCGGCCAGGGGGCTTCCGGAATCCCTCCGGAGGTGGGTGCCAGGGTCCTCCCCAGCGCCCCCAATTAGAATACACTGCCCAAGAAGGACGTCTGGGTGGCTGGAACCAAGGTCCTGAGCCGTGCTGTTGCTTCGGCTGTTTCCTCGGGGGCTCATACTCGGCCTTGGGACCATAGCGATGCCACTGCCTGTAAACCGGAGTGCCCCTGACCCTTCGATGGCAGGAAGACCAGGTGCTTAATGGGGCAGAGGACGCCCCCCCGTGGCCCAGGTTAAGAGGATCCTCTTTTCTATCGAGGGGCTGGGTCATGATTCAGGGAGCTCTGAGAGGTCTAAACGGAAGCGTCCTAGAAGCTGCCGTCAAGTTTGGCCAGATCTGACGGTCTGAAGAGCCTCGTGTCTCTCTCTCTCTCTCTGCGCAGCACCACGTGCCTGCCGTTGGGATCACGCCTTTCTCTCCAAAAGGACCCCTCTTCTCTGCTCGCTCGATCGTTCTTCCACGTAATCTCTGCCCCTTGGCACCCGGGTTGTCTCGTCCAGGTGAGTTTGGGTGGGACTGGGGCTGGGTAAGGATGGTGGGGGAGGAAGGTGTTGGTGGGCGATGCGCAGTGAGACCCGCTCCCGGGTCCCACACACCCCAGCCTCACAGGAGGCTCGGGCTGGGGACAGGAGAGGCAGGGGTTGTGCGTTACCTTGTGGCTCCTTCTCAACTCAGGTGCTTCCCCGTCGCCGTCCTGACTAGACTGAGGCGGGGTGGGCAGCGGCAGCCTTTAAATAGCGGCCAGGGGCCCCACGCGCCCACCGCATCCTTGGTTGCCCCGGGAGACAGCCAATTGGGGTTGAGGTCGTTGTCCCTGGGCGTGGAGTTGGGGTTCCGCCCAGAACGAGGTTGCCCGAGAACATTCGCAGGGGACTTGTTGATGCAGTTTTTGAGGGAGGTGGCGAGGGGCGGGAGGCTGGGTTTGTGCTGCCCACGTTAGGAAACGCTTGAGGCAGTTTATTTGAACCCTTAAACCACCTTGAGGTGCGAGGTTGTAGAAGATGGACCTTCGGCTGAACGCAGAGGTGGGGGTTGGGGAAGAATTTGTGTATCGAAAACCAATATCCTACACCTTTGAGACAGCCCAGGGGGTAAAGAGAAAGCCCTCGGAGTCAGAAAACTGGGCCCCACTCCTTACCTTGTGGCCCCACTCTTCTAAATCCTAGGAGCTCTGTGTCAACGTACCTGAAACAAGACGGCAAACGTTTATTGCGTGTGCTTACTGCGGGCAGGTGGGCTCATGGCACATAATCCTCACGCCTACTCAGGGAGGTAAGCATTGTTACCACATCTCATAGATTAGGAAACGAAATTAATCTACCTAAGGCTGTGGGACTGATGAATTTCAGGGCTAGTGTTTAAACCTGAGCCTGTTTGACCTCAGAGTCCAGATTCTCCATGAGATTACTATACTACACTGCCCAGGCACCTTAAATAGGACTCTGGTGATGAGTACAAGGAATCTGTATGGACAAGCAGTTTACTAATTGTAGCATATGCAGAACATATGTCCGTTGATTAAACATTACCAGGATGTATACCATGGGTTTGTACCTAAAAATGCTAGTATGCCAATTACATTTTTCCTTTTGTTAACCAGACAGTGTGGTACCTTGGGAGCTTTTATAGTATTAAGGTTAAGAATATGGGCTTTGATTTAAATAGACAAGAGCCTACCCTGAATGATACTATATGGTGGATACAAGTCATTATACATTTATCCAAATCTGTAGAATGTACAACATCAAGAGTGACCCCTAATGTAAACTATGGACTTTTGGTGATAATGATGTGTCAGTGTAGGTTCATTATTAACAAATGTACCACTCTGGTGGAGGATGTTTATAATGGAGGAGGCTATGTATAAGTAGGGGGAGAGAGTGTATGAGGAATCACTGTACCTTCTTCTCAGTTTTCCTGTGAATCTAAAACTGCTCTAAAAAACAAGGTCTATTTAAAAGTAGAGGTGTTTCCACTTGAACTCACCAGTTAACCTCTGGAAGCCTCCAGTTCCTTACCCATACCATGAGTATAGTTATAGTGCCTGTTCCAGAGTTATGTTAAGGATTAAGTAAGGTATTGATTAAAGCACTTAGCACAGGTACCCTGTGAGCACTCAGTAACTGTGAACTATCATCAGTACCATATTTACATGCTTTAGGACTTGTAAAGAAATTGATACAGTATACGTAAAGATAACTAACCCTGTGCCTGATGCAAAAATAGATACCCCCATCCTTGGGTCCTTTTCTTGTCCCACTTTTGAGAAACATCAAGAAAGTGCTACCAGCCTTGATCCTACAGAAAACCACTGAGTGTATCTCCTTGTCACCTTCCTGTGTTGAGTGGAATTGTGCAAAAATGGAACACTGCCCACTGGGAACCTGAGTCCATACAAGCTTCCATTAAATGATAGAGAAGCAAAATTAGGGGAAGCCCTGATGCTTGCAAAGGTCATTTATGCCTTCCTGCTTGAAAATTGAGAACGGTACATGGATTCCTGGTTCAGCCCTCCACCCTTTGCTGTGGGACCTATAGATTCCACAGGCATCATTCAAGTTCATTTGCTCTGTGGTTTGCTGAGGAGACAAGCCTGCTTGACTCAAAGTGCAGAATGCTGACATTTTTAGCCTCCAATGTCTCTTTTTGGATGGAGACTCACACACTTGGCCTCAGCCTCTGATCTGCTTAACTTGAAACGGAATGGTGATAATCCAGATTTATTTTTCTAAGAATATACTTGGTATATGATATTGAGTTTTAATTAAGAGCTTTAGAAATTGAACATGTTGCTTAGTGGAATTCCCATCAGTTTCTTCTTTTTTTAAAAAAAGATTAACTCACAGGTAATTAAGGACATCATTTTTTTGAACAGTTGAACTTTATACCAATAATACTGGCTTTATACACTTTTTTCATGGTGAGATATATATCTTTCATATTCATCCTCCCTATTAAAAAAATTAATGCAGGATTGTTTTGTGCTACTCTTTCTTAAGAGAAGCAGCAAATTACAATTTATGATTATTGTTTTTTTCAATAGATTGACATTATAATACACGTACTGGTAAATCACCCAAGAAAATTAGCACAAGAACATGTTAAAAACCACCGTCAGAAATGCAACTAAGAAATTTTAAAGACTTTTAAAATTGACCCATACTCTTTAAATGCTGCAAAATGAATTATTTTGGTTCAACATTAAAATATAACACACCGTGTTTTTATATATTGTATTCATTTATATTGCTACATAAAAAGTTCCCACAAACTTAGTTACTTAAAACAACATACATTTGTTATCTCAGAGTTTCCAAGGATCCTGGAACAGCTTAGTTGTGTCCTCTGCTCAGGGTCTTACCAGGGCTGTGATCAAAGCATTTGGCCATTTGGGTTCTCATCCTGCTGCTCAATTAGGGAAAATCTGCTCCCAAGATTATTTATGTTCTTGGCAGAATTTGTTTCCTTGTGGCTGTATAACTGAGGGCCATACCCTTTAGCTGTATGTTGGCTGAAGGAAGCCTCAGGTTTCGAGGCAACCTACAGGTCCTCGAGGACAGCAGTGGTTCTAGCGGCTGCCCATAGTTCCTTTCCATGAGCTTCCTCAACATGGCTGGTCACCCCATCAAGCCAGCCAAGAGCATCTCCTTAGTGCTTCCTAGCACAATGAACACACACAGACACACACACACACGTATTATAATCATGGAGCTTGACTTTTGTGACATCAGTCACCTTTGCCATATCCTATTGGTCAGAAACAAGGCCCAGGTCTTACCAGCACTCAAGGAGAGAGGACTACACAAAGGCATGAACACCAAGAGGCAGGAAATCATTGGGGATCAACTTAGAGTCTGTTTGCCACACGTTTCAAGTCAATGCAGTAAAATATGTCCTTTGTATTAACTAGTTACAACTTTATTTGGGAGATTTTAATGATATTGTTGCATTTTGAAATTCTGATAAGTGCCATGTGACAGCATGGGTTTTGCTATGTTTTATGTTATTCAGAGCATTATGTTGTTAAGTTGAAAACACTGCAGTCTTGGTGTTGATTTTTGTGCATTTGGGTGACTTGAAAAGAATGAATCCTAACACTTGATGGCAGTAGTAACTCGTTCAAAATTCAGTCAGTGAAAGTCCTTATATGAAAGAAACTACGTGAAGTTAGACCCTTTATAAATATATTTGATCATGAATACCTTATTTAAATTACTCCAGGTTGCCAATATTAATTATTATTTATTCTAGTGTGGTGGCATTGGGTATATTTATTAGAGTTTAGTATTTTTTGACAGGCTTTTGGAACTCAAACCTCAGCTAATTAAACTTGTAAATAAAATTCTTTAGAGAAAAGTTGGATATACCTGATACATTTGGTCAGAGAAATGAAATACAACAAGTATTTCAGATTTATCTTTGTAACCAATGCATTGCTATGTTATACGAAAAATAATGTCAATAGAACTCATTTTATGCACTCTCAAAAACGTGCCTTTTTCCACCGTGAATATAATCATGTAATTTGAAACCATCTAGCAGTTCCAGAGGCTAAATACAAGGTATTAAGCCTTTCTGACTTTTTGAAAGTGAGAAAAAAGGGATTTAAAATAACTCATTGCTTTCTCTTCATAATTTGGGAAGTTGTGGGGTTAGTTTGCAAATTGGTGAGGCATGTTGTGAATCAGGGAATACCACTGCAGTATTTTCGAAACATTTATGAATTCTCATATTATTTAAGTAAATTAGGAAGGGAAAATTAACTTTGTAATGATATAACTACAAAGACAGTGTTGCTACAGATTTAAAGAGAAGTAAGGATGTGAATTTTACACTCATAATAGTACTATGTGTAGGTATTATTTGCTATCGTCCTTTGAAAATATTACTAACCCTATAATAACTCAGGTTTTTCAGACGATTAACACAACACATTTTAGGCCTGTCATCTGAAAAACCTGTGTATTCAGTAAGAATTAATTAGGAATTTTAAATGGAAATGTTTGCTTATAAATAGTTTTAAAGTACACAGTAATACGGGGCAATAAAATGCAGTGTCCTCCCTTTTGGAAAATAACCTGTAATATTTAGAGAAAAGTAAATGTGTGTAGCAAATTCATAAAGAAAAAAACGTTGTCATTAAAAAAAGGATTGTATTTAATCAGGGATCAGTTTTAGAGTTTTGGAGGCTAGGATGTCCAAGATCAAAGTCTCAGCTAATTTGGTTTCTAATGGGAGCTCTCTCCCTGGCTTGCACATGGCTGACTTCTCATTATGTCCTCACATGGCTTTTCCTTAGTGCATGTGCACATACATAAACACGCACACACACACAAACACACACACAGAGTAATCTCTTTTTCTTTCTCTTCTTATAAGGGCACAAATCCCATCATGAGGACCCTATCTCATGACCTCATCTAACCCTAATTAAACTTCCAAAGGCCCCGTCTCCAAACACCATCACATTGAGGGTTAGAGCTTCAACATATGAATTCTGGGGGTAAACATTCAGTTCATCAACTTCTCTGTCCAGCCTGTACACCACTTTCTTGTATTATAAAACAGGGAAAAGTCACATTCATAGTATTTGAGGCGGGACAGTGGGGTGGAATAGGATAGGCCTTTGGAGTCAGCCCTTAATCCAGGGCAAATTATTTAAGCTCTGTCTCTGACCTGTGACTTGGAATAGTCATTACTATCTCCAGCTCCTAAGATGTTGTGAATTAATACATGCAGAACACCTCAGTAGATGCCTGGTACGTATTTTGTGTCCGAGAATTGGCTCCTATTATAACAATGTATATCCATGTAATGGGCTGATATGTGTTGTTCAGAATCAGTAGAGCTGTATGTGCCGATATGACAAACATCACCAAGAAATATTTTTAAGTGAAACAAGCAAGGTGCAGAATAGTGATTATCTTTTGTGTTTAAAAATCCATGATTACATGTACTGATACATACATATTGGTGGTATATATATACATGTAGCAAACGCATACACTTTTCTGTAAAAAAGGGGAAATCATTTATGTGCAAGTTTTTGTTTCTTATGGAAAACTTAATAAAAGTATGCAAGAAACCATTGACTGTTTCTAAGGAGTGGAGCTTAGGGTTTGCTGCTGGAAGGAAGCTCACATTTCATTGTATACTCTTTTGTTATCTTTCAGTTTTTAAGCAAGTGCCTGTATTATTATCATACATTTCAGAAAGATCAACTTTTTCTAGAAGGTACTCCTCAACTTCTTCCCTACTGTGATTTTCATATC